ATCAGATATTGTCCAAGATTAACCTTCAGGGTGGATATAGCTCGCTAGCAGCCTTGTACGGATGACCTCGTCATCATTTACCCAGAATGCTTTGCATGTAACTAAAATGGCTCCATCCAAATTAAAATATATATTAAAAAAAATACTAAACTAAACAGCCTACAGTATTTTTACAGTTTTTAATTTACAGTTAAAATATTTGTTTATCAAATAAAGTCTCATGTTACAGCTAATCGTTGATCCCTTTAATGAAAAAGTGACATTACAGGACATTAGAAAGGAGAATAAAGCAGGAACTGTTAGCAGAACAAACACAACCTCTGCTTTTYAATTCCTGCTGGATGCAAACATGGCTTCAAGTTATCTAAAGTTTGTGTACAGTCTTGATATCTCATTCCTTTGTCATGAGTAATGAAGGTGCAGACAAGATTCTTCRTCTTCTTTTTACAAATGAAGCCCTTTTCATCTTCTTTGGGCAGAGAATTCTTTAAAGTCAGGTGTTGCGTTGAAACAATAACTGATTCTGTTAACGAGCGTCAAAAAACGCTCAATACCTCATGAATACTAAAAATAAGAAGCTGACACAGAGAAAACTAGGAACATCACCCACCAGCACCCATGATGAGACCTGGAGCTGATTCTTTAGTATGGACAGTGCCAGACACGTAGGGGTTATCTGCCCAGCGCAGGTGGAGGTGGAGATGGCAATCCGGCTGCAGGAGAGAGAGAGAGAGAGAGAGAGAGAGAGTGAGACAGCATTAATCCAAACTGCAACACTGTGTGTGAAGAAACAGATTTAACCAAAGAATGCTGCTGGGAATCAAGGCTCTTACTTAGTCATGTTTAATGAGTTTTACAACACAGACACCAGATAATCCCACTGCAAACGTAGCTTAGCACAAGGGTTTTAGTGCCTGTAATTGACACTTCACTCTCACTTTAAAATGAACACTTAAAGTCCTTTGTGGGCTAGATAGTACTTTGTAATACTTCCAACACTGTTATCTCTTTAAGACATGAAGATAAACCTCTTGTGCGCGGGCCGGGGGTCATTGCTTTCAACCATTCTCCAACAAGTGGAAGATTATGTATGCAGCCCTACAGTGGCACACTAACATCTATGACAACGATAGTAGATGCCGTAACTTGTGGCGTAACTGAAGCAATATGTGTTCTGTCAACGGCTTCTCTATGTTTGATGGATCTAGTAGCTTAAATCCAGGAGAGACGATTTTTCACAAGGCAATTCGGTTGAGGTATAGATGAGCTTATTGGGATGGCAAGGTCACTGTCAGAGATCCAGCTACACGTGTGTGCCTATCAAAGGTGGTAAACAAGTCTTACACTGATATCTGCATCTCCCATCATTTCTGTCACCTTTCGGGAACGACGGTTCAAATGAAAGACCAGACTCGTTCCCCTCCATCTCCCTGTGCGGTATGATGTATGAATCCCAGACTTTGGGTGACTCATTGCTCTTTGCTTGTGTAACCTCGCAGCAGCAACTCTGACAAGATGGATGGCAGAACTAGGCAGGCATTTCGTGCACATTCCTCAAAGAGCAGCACTCATCCTTCCTCCTCTCGCTTTCTGTTCACAGTCTGAACAACCTGGTCGGAAGAGCTTTGTGTTTTGACTGATGGTCGCATCTGCAGGATTCCATCAGTATAAAGTGCAGATACAAAAGCTGAACTGAAAGCCTTACTACGCCTTACTACGCCACAGAGACAAAAATGAAGTTGGGTCAAAACAGAGTTCAGAATACAAGCTGACTTTTTGATCTTTTACCTCACAGAATGACATTTTTTTACAGCTTGTGTTCAAAGTTCTAAAGTATCTAAAAAGGAACTCTAAATAAAAACTACAGCTTCTGCACACAGGTTAAACAAGTGATGTGAATCTTACTTGGAAATTTGAGTTGCACTGAAAACTCAAGCTTTAAAGGGGCAATATCATGTAAAATCAACTTTTTTGAGTTTTATATCATGTTATAATATTATACTCTCATAAAAAAACATGCCCAAAGCCTTGCTCTGACTCATTCATGCATGTTTGAGAAATCCTGCAGCGTTTTTAGGAAGCCATGCAGAGGAGCAAAACGACAGGTGGGGACCAGAATAGCCCCTGGGACGTGTCTTTAAGCCGAACTTCCTCATCACGGAGCACATCTCCCCGCCCCCCACCCAACACACCCCACCCATGACTCTGGGGTGAAACTTAAACTGTCTGCTGAGCTCCACTAC